CATTGTGGGCCCAAATCTCATTCTCACATGGATTCTTTTTGGACTTTATTGACTATATCATTAACATGTATGTAAATTTACTGTCTGGACTTGGAAGATGCAATAAATGGTAAAATGTATTTTTTTTTCTCAGAGAAAAATTGGATACTGAGCATTTTTTAGTGTCATTTTCACCAAAATATCTAGCATATTTACTACCCTCAACTTATTATTTTCATGGTCTGCTTTACTTGGAATGTCTATACTGTTTAGTCATTGAGCCCAGATTACTTGGAAGTATTATTTCCTTCCTCTTTTCCCAATAAAACATATAAATCAATAAATTACATAGTTTTGCTTCTTGTATAGCTACTCCTACCTTAATTGAAGTCCTCATAATTGTTATTTGGACTCTTACAGTGTTCTATATAGGTCTTCCTGCTTCCAGTCTTTATTTTCTTCTAGTTGTTCACTCCACTGTACCTAGAGAATTTCTTCTGAGTTCTAAAGTTGATCTTCTGATCTTGTTATTTCTTCTTTTTAAATTTTCATTTTTTTCTCCATTGCCTTCTAGTTAGCATTGAAACTGCTTTTTATTCACCTTTAACTTTGTCTTTGTTAATTCTTTATAACCTATTGCTCTGCTGTAATTATACCAAGTTACTTAGCGTTACCTGCTGGATAATATGTTTTCACATGTGGTCCTTTAGCCTGCTGTTTCTTCTTTCTGCAGTGGTTACCTTTTCTATTTATCTCATTTGGAGAAATTATATTTGTCCTTTTTTTTTTTTTTTTTTTTTTCAGGTAGCGTACCACAATGCAGTTCAGGCTGGCCTCGAACTCAGTATGTAATCTAGGCTGGTCTTGAACTGTGGCAATCCTGCCTCAGCCTCCCAAATGCTAGAATTACAGGCATGTGCTAATATGCCCAGCTTATATTTGTCTTTTGAGACTTCCATTTGGTGTGTTTTCCTCTGAGAAGTCTTTCCTGAAACCCCTCCAAGCAGATCTGACTACTTTTCTCCTTTATGTAATCATTGTCCTCTGTATTTATTTGTACTATTATATTCATTGCATTGAATTACAGTATCTATTTGTTTATTTGCTTCCATTAATAGTATCATATGGAGTTCATGGGTCACAGATTCTCTCTCTGTCTCTGTCTCTGTCTCTGTCTCTCTTTCTCTCTGCCACTCAGGGGATTGAACCCAGGACCTTTATGCTGAGCTACATATCCAACATCTCCCTTTTTTGTTTTTATATTTTTATTTTGAGACATTTTCTTGCTAAGTTAAGTAGGCCTGAAATCCTTGTGCCCCAGCCTCCCACAGTGCTGGGGTTACAGGCATAATCACCATGCCCAATTAGTATTTCTTATATATCTACAATGCCTGCTATCAAGCAGATATTCAGTACGTATTTGACTGAAAATGGTAGTACAGAGAAACATACTGTGTGAGTTAGGCAGTAAGAGGAGGCTTTAAAAGGAAGAATTTTAGTTGGGCTTTGGAGGAAACCTTGGCTTTAGACAGGGAGAAGTCATCAGATAGAGAAATGGCATAAGATGTAGAGGTAGGAGTAGGAGGTAGAGTCTGATCCAAATGGAAGATTCATGTTGGAGACTATTGATAAGTACACTGGAAAATTAAGTTCAACTTTCATTATGGTAGAATCTAAATGATAGATTATGGAGTTTGGACTTGGTACTTGTATAATTCTTTCCTCCCAGCCACACAGTTTACCTCATCCTTGATTTACATGATGAACATTGTGGTTTAAGAAGAGCCTGGCTATAATTGGCAGGGACATTATAGCGAGAAGGTAATTATTTCCATTTAGATATCTTGGAATTGTGGCAATTGTACTGGATCTCAGGAGAGGGGAAAGAGTCATAATAGAGAAGAGGAAGAGCTGAAACAGAACTTTTATGCAATTTCTAAATATTCGGAAATCAGAGAATAATAAATATGAGAGACACTTAAAGGTAAGGTGGTAAAACATGAAAAATTGTTCATAGAACGCATAACAAATTTTAAAAAGTGCTTTCTAACGTCTTGGTGATAGTTTTATGTTTTGTACCCTTTTCCTTCTAACCCAACACAGCCAACAGAGATTAGTTAGCTGCTTCTGTGACACATTACTATGGGGGTTGTCTTTGAGACATGGAATATGTGGTCCTGGTGAAACAGAAGAGCATGTTAGGAAAGGCCTCTGAAGGGATTTTATTGGATATTTTTTTGCACTGTAATGTCACCTTTCATTTTAATCTATGCTATATACATTTATGTATTTATATTTAGCCTTCACCACTTTTGACAAATCCCATATTTTTCAGTATATAGTAATTTCATTTATATCCATAATGATAATTTTGGAGTGTTTACTTTATTGTTCTACCTGCACTTTGATATTTCCAAGTTGGCTGATTTCCACTTTCTGTGTATTCTCTGAGTGCTCTTTTACAGATTGGGAAACTCTTGGTAGTTCTGACAGAAGCTTCAGATTCTGATAGATCTTTAGAATACAGCTAGAAATACTTTGATTTCTAGCAAGGGGCTCATTACATCAGTTTACAGATTTGGCCCAAACTACTTTGCAGTCTTCTAAATTTATAAGAAACCAAGACGCCAATTAAGAAAAAATCATAGAAAATCTGAAATTACTTCCATGGGAATACTTTTCAGATCTTTATCATTTCAAGTTGAAATGACAGTACGCAGTGTGTCTCCTCTTGATTGTTTTTGATACACTGTCTATATTTTATTGATTGTGAAAGAAAAATAATGAACTTGGGATTTAGTAAGATAAGACCTATTTATGAAAGGGTTTGGTTTTGGTGTACTAAAAGAAGGTAGAGGTTAAGGAGTAAGTAATCAGTTGAAAGCTTCTGAAGTTTGCTCTTCCAGTGTGCTTGCTAGAATTCTTGATTTCTGGTTGGGTTTGCATTGGATATAGGTGGGGAAAAACATCTTACTTGCGGATTAATATTATTAAAGAATGTGCTATTTAATTTTGGACCTCAGTACATATACAGTACTTGGAAGGTATATTTGTCTTCTATACAAACCCAAATTAAATGTTTCAGGGTACCTTCTCATGTGGTTGTTACTGAGGTCATGTATTTTATGTAAGTCAAATCAAAATATCAATGGGTAATATGCTGAGAAACAAGTTTGTCCATTGATTCAAATCTCTGGAATGCAGATTCTTTTCATTTTCTTGGCAGAAGCTAGCTTGCATAGTTTAAGTTTTTCTCTGTCCTAATAAATTGTTTCATTTGACTAGTGCCTGAACTAACTTCTTGTATTTAATATTTATCTTGAATTCCTTAGTCTCATTGGAAATATTTGAAAACATTGCTTTTTCTTCAGAACTAATTCATACTTGTTACTGAGGAGAAATAATATATTGATTAAGGAACATATATTCTGATAGGTCAAATATTCAAGCTTTGTTTCTTGACATGCTTGTGTGTATGAGAGAGAGAGGAAAGAGGAGAGACAGAAACAAAGACGGGGAAAGGGGAGAAGTTCCCAATGCTGGGTTTAACCAAATTAAATAAATTACTTGAAAACAGTATGACAACCAGCTTCTGTTGTGTTAATATATATTGTATATCTACAACAAAGCTATATGGTATGCAGTGTTTTCCATTGATTTGGCCACAGAACCTTATTTTGGAAACTGCTTTTGGCATGGTTTTAGGAGGGACTGTTGATTAGTGGGCTGACCTGGAATTTAAGAGATCACACTCTTAGCTTTTGAATTACCCCTCACTTGAGTTGTGACTTTGAAAAAAATCCTTTGTCTTTAACTTCAGTTTTCTGACTGGTGACTAGAGTTATTTCCAGCTGAAATGTGTGGTTTAACACTTGTATTGTTGACTTTGGATAGTAACACCTCTTTTTATCTGTTGAAACCATGGTATAATTTCAGTCAATTTTGTTAGGCCAAGGGGTCATACTTCCTGTTCTGTATAAGTTCAAAAGAAGAAACCCTTTAATTCTCTTTCCCATAAGTCACAGTAATAAGGTCCTGTTGGAACTGTTCGCTCTATTCATACTTCGGGGAAAAAAGTCTCTCAAGATAGTACATCCTCCTGATCATATTTTATCAGTTTGATATATCCACATAACTGTTTATAAGTGTCCTAAGCTTAAATTTATCAAAATTAATTCCAAGCTCCTCTTCTTCTTCAACTGTTATGGCTTCAGTATGGTATTTTCTTGTACGAGATAAATATTAGGCATTTGTACTAATCTCATAGCTTAGTTGCAAATGGATAAATTTCATTTTGTGATTAAGTGGACATATTTGAAAAGTCTTACAATAATGTTTTAAGTTGGAAAGCAAGTTAAAGCAGGAAAACTTTGAGGTTAAATTATAAATGTTGGGGTGTTTGACTTTATTTCTGGTGCTAAAAGCTTATATTTTGCCAGCTGTGGTGGCAGACATGTATAGTCCCAGCACTAGGGAGGCAGATGCAGGAGGATTGCCACAAGTTTTAGGCCAGCTTGGGCTACATAGTGAGTTCAAGGCCAGCCTGAACTAAATGCCAATATCCTTTCTCCGCAGAATAAATACCAAACATACATACATACATACATATTTACTTAAATACAGCAAGCAAGCAAGCTTATAGGGATTTGTTGTTGTTGTTTTTTTGTTTGTTTGTTTTGGGTCTTTTTGAGACGGGGTCTTGCTATGCAATTCAGGCTGGCCTTGAACTCACTTTGGACCCTAGGCTGGTCTCGAATTCCCAAAAATCCTCCTGCCTCAGCCTCCCGTGTGCTGGGATTACAGGTGTATGCCACCTTACCTGGCCACAAACAGGTTTATATTAAGGAATTTTGTTGGATATTTTCTTTAAGATACTCATTTGATGAAAATTAAAAGTTCACTGAAAGCTTAATTACATTTTGTTTCTTTTGTTTCTTTTTCGGTGTGTGTGTGTGTGTGTGTGTGTGTGTGTATGTGTGTGTGTATGTGTATGTGTGTGTGTGTGTGTGTCCGTGTCCTAGGCTCAACAACAAAGAAATCTGGATAACATCGTCTTGCAACAGCCCAGAATAGGTAGCAAGAGAAAATCTAAGAAAGATGCATATACAATATTTGATACAGAGATGGAGAGCACTAGCCCCAAGTCTGAACAGGATTCAGGAATTCTGGATGTTGAAGATGAGGAAGATGATGAAGAGGTAACTGATATTTGAACTCGGGAAGTGAGACCATTTATAACTATAGTACATTTGAGATGTGAATTTATTCATATAATAATTTTCTGTGATCTGCTTGTTAAATGACTTGAATTCCAGTGAATCCTAATTTAAAGAAACTGAAGATATGTGAAGATAATTTACATTTTGATTCTTTTGAAAGAATTTAGATTTTTAAATATACTCTTACATTTTTAAAAAGATTGAAAGTTTTAAATTCTGTATTGACTAGATACCACATTAAAGGAAGAGTAGAGTTTACCTGACCCGAAGACCAAGGGTCTAAGTGACCTCTGCAGAAACTCAAACAGTTATTGGAGACCAATAAAAGATGTGACTTTAAGGAATGGTCAGATAAAACCAGATTTACTGTTTCTTCTTCATCCTTGTCCTATACTATGTTTTCTGTTTTGTTCTGAGCCCAAAAAACTATGCCCAAGAACTTGTCACTATCCAGCTTTGTAATTGTAGGAGTCATCTTCATCTGTCAAGTAAAGATAGTAGTTTGTAAACTATATACATATAGGTGTCCTTCATTATAAATGGTCAATAAATGTTATTTTGTCTTATTATTATTTCTCTTCCTTGTTATTTCTGTTATGTATTACTGTTGTCAGTGTGCCTATCCTTATTATTCTTCTTTTGTTAAAAAAAAATCAAGCCAGGCATGGTGGTGCATGCCTGTAGTCCCAGCATTTGGAAGGCTGAGGCAGGAGGATTGCCTCAAGTTTGAGGCCAGCCTGGGCTATACAGTGAGTTCAAGGCCACCGTGAACTGGATAGCAAGACCTGTCTCACACCCCTCCCCCATCAAACTGGCATTGTTTAAATTGGGATTAACGGTAAATACCAAAATTATCTGTCTATAATAGCAGTTATTAAGTTCAATGTCTGATGGACTTTCACATGTGTAAAGTCCAAAGGATATTCTTTTATATAGTTCTCTATATTGAGGGGACACATTTTTCAATCTAAGTGAATAATTTTACATACCATTTTAATTTCTACTTTAGTAGGATGTTTATTATGTAAATAGGTACATTAATTGCAGGGTTTGAAAGTTTCATTCTAATGCTTATTATACTTGGATAATAAGAACTTTTAATAGTTCTTAATAGAGCCCAGAACAATCTTTTGAATGTTACTTAATGGATCATTTTAGAGTAAAGGAACCCACCATTTGCCCGGTAATGCATAGAGTCAAAAAGGAGCAGAGGGGGACTTGATTCTCTTGAACATTTTCTAGGATTTTCTCTTCTTGCCTGCAGTGACTGGAATATTAGGATATAGATCCATCTGGGAGACCAGACTGTGAGGTATTAGAGACATAATAGATAACCCATTATTGTAGTAGCACAATAAAGCATCAGTCTCAAGAAAGATCAGTTAACATTTTTCATGCCTGCTGGGTGTCCATCAAAAAAATTAAAATCATACTATGAAAATGGAAGTTAGATATAGTTTGCTTCCTTAGATAATATGCATACTGAAGAGAAGATTAGATGATAATCTCAGATAATGAAATATATATCCAAGTTCATAAATATCATTAAGAACCTTCTGGATAAGAATAGTCCCAGGAGTGTAGGGTACTTTGGTCTTTGGAGTGCACTTGGAGTTGTAGAACTCATTCTTCATCAACAATTCACTGAAGATCTTGGCTAAGTCCCTTTTAATGTGTGTGCCTTCTTTGCTTTGTCCTGTGAAGTCCAAAGAAGATCAAGAACGTAGGACTAGTAAAATATATTGGGAGTTTGTCATAAAGGATGTATTATAAGCATGTATTTAGTAGATAGTATTTTAAAATGATCCCATATCCCAAATCAAACAATTTGTATTAAGGATTTGCTGATTAAGCTTTTACAACAAGAATTCAACATTTTCACTGTCATCTAATGGCATCCTATTTTTAAAAAAAATCCTACCTTATATTTATTTACTTCTCAGTTTGAATCTTCTTCAAGTGCACATTCTTAATCTCAAACCTCATGTAGAGAATTATTTATTTAGATGTCTCCAAACTGGTTTCTTGGCATAGTTCTTGCATGGTGTGAATAAATTCTTCAGATAAGGTCTTTCGTGACCCACTGTGACGTTCTGACCTTCATTCTTGTCATTTTTCAACTGACCTCATTTAGAACAGCATAGTTTTTGGAGTATTGTGACTTATAATCTATGAAAATGGTAACTGTGACATAGAATCCTATATAGCAGTGTTCTTAATCTATTTAGGGTCATGTATTACTTGAGAGTTTGATAAAAATGTATGAAATCTTTTAGTAAAATGTGTGTGTTGTATATTTACTCAGAAAAAATTTTGCGTGAAATTTTAGAGAGTTATGAAGTTCATTTTACCCAACTTCTTGTACTTTAAGGTATGTAGGAATCTTCTGGGAATCAAGTTAAAAGGCAGATTCTGGTTGAGGATGGGTCTGAGTCTGTATTGTTGACAAGGTCCCAGGAGTGGAGGGCACTTTTGGTTTTTTGAGTACTCTTTGAGTTACAAAGCTATAGAGGTCTTTGAGGAAGCTTTTTTGGTACATCAATAAACTTACAAATGTTTGAGTCTTATATGGATTTTCAGTTAAAATGATTTTAAAATTTTCGGACAAAACTTGCAGTACTTGAAGAGAGAGTGATATTTTCCTTTCTAGTATCTATAGATAGACTAATATAATAGGTTACCAGCATTTAAAATGGGATAATTTAATTTCATAAGTTTAGGTGCTTTCTTATTCTCTGAAGTAAGAATGTTTTACCATTCTTTGTGCTTTTAATAGAAATGTACTCAATATGTTGGAATTGAATGACATTTTTGGGTTATACTATGACTGGACCTTAATGATAATTAACAGAATATCATCAGTATATGCAAATATATATTACCAAAACCTCTATTAACTTATATTTCACCTTTCCATGAACTAATAAATATCATCTACTATAAACAAAAAAATCTGTGGAAATAAAGCAGTATTGAGAAGGAAATATTTTGAAAAGCCATGATTTCTTCTTTGTTTCTTGGTTACTTCACTGCTTTGCATTCTTAATATACTTTATTACATTCCTGATAGTCTAGTTTATATCTCTGTTAATTTGTTTACAAATAGTTAAAAAATAGTTGTCAGCATTGCATTCATGCCAACAGGCATAGAATATGGGTGAACTAAGTCTTTGTTGACCAAATGACTGATGTCCAGTTTAACTCTCTAGATTGTGGTGTCTCTTTTGAAATAATGGAATTGTTAACTTATATACAAATGTCATGTAATGAAAAACTTTCATGGATGTCTTGATTGTGGTATTATAGTAATTCTGAGGTAATAGGCTTCACTAATTTTCTGAGGGCTGCTATAAAAAATACTAACAGACTGGGAAGATTGAACAACAGTAATATATTTTTGCATAATACGGAAGGAAAAGTCTAAGATCAAGATCCTTGCATGGCTAGTTTTTCCTGCTGCTAGTCTTCCTGTCTTACAGTTGCTTCCTTCTAACTGTGTCCTCACATAGCCTTTTTTTGTCTTTATATGTCTCTGTTGTCTCTATTTCTTCTCATAAGAACACCAGTCCTGTTGATTTCCATAATTCTTTCATTATTTCTTTAAAAGTCTGTGTCCAAATATAGTCAATTGAGGATTAAAAGTTCAACGTACAAATTTTAGAGGAGGCACAATTCAGTTTACAGCACAAAGTGATTGGAAATTACACAAATAAGTCTTGTATTTAGAAGGTACAAATTCTGGCAGCTTTGTGCTATTATAGGAGATCGAGTAAATTTCTCTAAGTATACTTTTTCTTGCCTATAAGGTAGTGATAATTATGTCAAATTGTTTGTTAAACACAGTGGTTGTTATGACATTTAACCCAAATTTTTAAATGTTTATTGTAAATTTTTCTACATGAAGGTAGCAGAAAACGAAGATCTTTTCTAGAAAGTTAAAATGAAATAAAGGATGCCATTAGAATGTCATCTTCATTAAATTAGAGGTTTCAAATAGGCAGCCCATTAGCTTTCAGATAAGTCATTAGCCTACACAGTGCTTAAATCAGTTGCCACTATAGTTAGCTTGCTGTTGCTGTTACAAAATACCTGAGATAAATAACTTAAGAGGAGGAAAAGTTTATTTTAGTTCACAGGGTCAGAGGGGTCAGTCCATTGCTGGCTGGTTCTGTTGCACAGCAGCCTCTAGAAAGGAAGGACATCATGTGTGAGGAAAGCATAGTGGAGCAAAGCTGTTCAGTTCATGGCTGCTGAAAGGCAGAAGAAAGAGAAAGGGCCCAGAGTCACAATATCACCTTTAATGGTCCACTCTCAGTGAACTAACATTCTTCCGCTAGGTCTTACCTCCTAAGAGTTCTGCCATCTTCTTATAAGACCACAGGGTGGTGAGCAAAGATTTAGTATATGGGCTTTGTGTATGTGTGGGATATGTACAGTACAGATCAACCTATAAATCCAAGTGTAGTGCACACATGTAATCCCAGCCCTTAGGAGCCTAAGGTAGGAGAATTACAAATTTGTCTCTAGCTGGGCTACATCCAGATTGGACTATGAATCAAGATCCAGTCTTTTAAAAAAGTCATTGAAATTCACATGAAAATCTGGATTTCTAACTTAATTTCTTAACTTCTTAGTTTTAGTATTGGACTGGCCTTGAATGGCAAGATTGCCACCAAAGATATGATATCTTCACAAAGCTACAAATCCTTAGTGTTTCTACATACCGGCAGATGATGGGTTATACAGTAGAACACTAATGTGTAGATTTTTTTTCCACTATTGGTTGTTGAACAGCACATCTTTATACTGAGCTGCATCACCAGATTTTCTTATTTTTTGAGTCAGAGTCTCGCTCAGTTGCCCAAGTTCGGTGTGAACTTGAGATCCTCTTGCCTTAGCTTTCCAGAGTGCTGGGATTATAGATGTGCATTACCATGCTTGGCTAGAGAACACAGTGCTTTGTAAAAATGAATAATAGT